AGTTTGATCAGACTAGCTTATAAGATCCTACCTCATGGACCTCTAATTTCTGAGACTAGTTTCTGCTTTAAGATGCTATAAAACCAATAAATATAGAGATCGTTTGTTGTAATGTTTCCAAAGTTCATATCTCAGCATACTAAGCGAATGATCAGATATTAGTAGGTGAAACTAGAAGAAAGGGTTTCATGGTCAAATCCTTTGAGAAATGCTATTATAGTATTTTGATGGTATAACTCAGAATCCTTACTATGCTGATGTGTCATGTGACTCCACAACTGGGTGTGGTGTGCACTATTCCCCATACTGCTGCCCAAGGCCTCTTTTTGATGGAGCATTTTATAGGACCTGTGTCCTGCAGAATATATGTTGAGAAACTCTAATTTAATTGAAACCCTTTGTTTTAGATACGAATAGTAAATTGTCAAGTCCTACTGTCATGATGACAATCAGCATGTTTACAGGACACTGTCTGGAAGGGAGGCAGCATCCATTGCCAGAGTTCCTGACAAACTGGACCCAGAACACCTGTTCCTGCCTCCGGCTTTCTCCTGAATCCCAGGGCAAGGCTCCCTCATGCTGCTTCTGCCACTTATCACACCCACAGAAAGATCAGCCAAGGGGGTGGGGGCACTTTGATGGCTGTTTCCTTCCTACATGGGCAGCTGCTTTACCTCCAGGTTCTGGGGGACTGGCAGACATTGTACTAAACTGAAGTGAAAATCACCTTCTATGCAGAAGCAAATTTACCCAGAGTTCTGAAAGTGCAAAAAATTAGATTCTTAAACAAACATTCTGGATACTGTTTTTTTTTTTTCCCATTGTTGTTCTGTTTTTGTTTTTTGTTTTTTTTTTCCCAAGAAAAACAACAACTAATGTTAAGTAATTAAGCTAAATTTGCTTTTTTTCTTTTGTATTATTCTGTATTTTGAGTGACTTGTAGGATATGTTAGAGGGTCACATCACACCCAGGCTAATTTCCTACAATGAAATGTAATTCTGTAAAATGATCTACACAATAAAATGTTTTTAAAGATGAAATACTTAAATTTCTTGAAGGTATGAATTATATTTGCAGTGTATCCCTAATGACTAACACACGGCTTACATATATTAGGCACATAGTGATAAATATGTTTGCATTAATTAGTAAATTATAACCTGATGCTTGGACTTTAATAAAATAATGGTAATAATATACTAATGGTACTAATGCTATACTACCTTTTCAAAAATCTCAAAGATAAATTCCTTGACCTAGTTGAGATTTATAAACTGGTTAACACTCTTTATTGTCATCTTTTATTTTCATAAACAACTACATTGTGATGTGATGTTTCTTTTAGGTAATAATAAATGAGCTCACTTTAATATTTGACTTTTAAACACTTGCACGTAGACTTCAAATTGGTATGAGTCAGTAGATAATGAGTCCTAACTTCCAGTTATTGTACAATCCTCCTTTCAGGCACTTAGACTGCATTAAACATCCTCAGCGATATCACACATAACAATAAGCCTGAAGAAAGATGTGATCTTCTGAGTCATCAAAGAAGGATGTAGTCATGTTGGTAAATTAGTTTGTGTTCCATCTTTTCATTAATTTAATAAAACTTGTTTAATACCTACAATATATAAAGTAACTCACTATAAGGAAATAAAGATGGAATTTATACAGACCATCCTTAATTAAGAAGCCTTTGTTCTTAAAGGAGACATGGGCCACACACATAAATAATCACAATGCTAGATAAAATGAGGATATGCCAGTAATGTGCTGTTGGTGTTAGTTTATATTTCTTTCAAAATTAGTTTATTTTTCCTTCAAAACTGGTAGTCTACAGTGAAGGAGATTACCCAGTATATTGAACTCCCCGTTCCGTAGCTGCTCTGGATAAGTGGAAGGTTACATCACTTGGTATCAGTGATACCAGGTTTTACTAGCAGTCACCAGCATCATCCAAGTGCCATGCTCCTTATTAGCTAGCAGACAGGATCGCCCCAGCAAGGTATATTGACCAGCACTGAGTCACTTACTTTGGACATACAATTCACCCGAAATGGACGGGCAAAGAGGATAAATCACATTGACGCGGGGACCTGACCATGGTGGAGACTGTGGGTATGCTTTCAGGAAGTTGGACACTTGTGTGGGCAGTAACACAGTAGTAGACGGGCCAACTTGTCAAGTGACAACCAGAAATGGAGTCAGTATAGGCATACTAATTGTTCCTGGCTCCGCAGAGTGGCTTTGACCGAACGGACGGTGAATTTGTTAGGGAGAAGCCTATGAGGGCAGGAGAAAGACCAGTCTGTCCACACCCCAGAAGTGGCTACTACTTTAGGTTGTGAATTGACTCTTTTATTCTGATTTGGACTATATTTTTATCTCCATTTAAAAGGCCAAAAAAATTTGCCCTGGCCAATTTTTCTCAGTGGTTAGAGCATTGGCCCATGGACCCATGAGTCGAGGGTTTGATTCCGGTCAAGGGCCCGTACCTTGGCTGCAGTTCATCCCCGGTCCTGGTCAGGTCATGTGGGAGGCAACCAGTAGATGTGTCCCTCCCATGTTGATGTTTCTCTCTCTCTCTCTTCCTCTCTCTCCCTCCCTCCCACTGTCTCTGAAGATAAATAGAAAAATATCCTAGGGTGAAGGTTAAAAAAATAAAATAAAAAGCAAAAAGTTTTAAGGAATTAATGTATACACCCAACATGTGAAGATTATGGAAATACCTCCTTCATATATTAGGAACAATGCTGTCAGAGAAGATTGGACTAAAGCCTTTGTCTGAGCCAAGAGTCCAGAATTCAAGTTTGTTAGCATTGTTAACCTATACACATTAGCATAACACAATAACAAAAAATTAGCATCGAAGTGCACACTTTACACTTTTCCCCGTTGACATCTTTGCTTTGAGAATTGATGATTAAAAATACTTATGTGTAGACATAGTTCTTTTAAGATTGTATGTTGTAAACCATTAATTCTAAAATATTGAGATATGAGTTAATAAGGAAGCTCATAATTTTAACTTCTTTGTATGTCAAGCCAGGTCTGTGATCATGACTGATTCTGAGGGAAATGATATGGACAGAGGGATCTGTTTTGTCCCACAGCTCCTTGCAACCTTGGCTGACTTAAGGGCCCCTCCACGAAGGGCAAGGCAGCACATGGCTACCTGGTGGCCCAGAGAATCATGCTTTTCTTCTTCCTACCACTTGGTCCGTTTGGGGGAGGCAACATTAGGGGTACCCTCCCTAGGATCACCACCTAGAGCTTTGTTACCTGTTTTCTTTTTTTGTTTGTTTTTGTTTTTTATGGGAGCTCAACCTCTCCAGTAAAATATTTAAGTATGAAGCTTATTCATTTGGTTTCTAGCCCTTAAACCTACTGGAGACCATGACTACTGCCCAGAATAAGTAAGTTATATGTGAGAGGCAGCAGACAAAACACTTGAAACAGGTTATGCCTCTGGGTTTTATCACTGAACAATTACTTATGGTATCCAGATTTGTACAAGTTTCAGTATTAACTCACACTTTTGGCTTATTATTTGGCCAAATACCATTTGTTCTTAGGTCTTGGCAAGAAGAACCCTTCTCCTGGGGCCTACTCTGTAGAGACCTCCACCCTTGCCCTCTTCTGGTCACTCCTCTCCACTGGGCAAGGAATCCACAGGCCAGGTGGACTTATTTACTGAGAGCCATGCCCCCTTCTTAGACCACACTCTGGGTAGCCAGACCCCAGAATTCCTGCTAAAAGCCCTGCTTCCAGGACTGGTGTGGGCCTCTTATTTTGATATATCCTTCTGAGGGTGGACTGTGCCATTGGTATGGCACCATAGTCCCAAGAAGTGGCCAAAAGGGGGTGGTGATGTGGCCAGAGCTTGAACATATGTGCTGGGATCCTCATGTGTGTGAGGCCTGTCAATGATGTGCGCCAGGCCTAGGGCTGGGAAAGAAGAACATCGGTCCAGGCCAGGACTGCTCCCCACGAACCACATTCTGGCATGGAGCTCTGAGGAGCCAGAATACTCTAAATTCAAACCCATTTTCTAGGTCCTTATATACATATATCTGTCAAGATAGGAAACTAGCTTGTTAGCTTCAGCTACAATTTTTAAGTATTTAGACACATGATATGTGGGCCCTCGTTTTTACTCTTGCCCCAGGCCTCACAAATATGGGAGTAGACCTGCTCTTGGCATAGATTTGATTTTTAGTTTGTTTAAAAGTATAATATAAAAGATCTGGTAAGAGGGTTGAACTGTGAGTAGCGGGTGGGCTGCTTTCCACCAGGTCAAATGTAGCATTGCTCCCAAGCAATGTTCCAACTATGTCTCAATGTCCTGGCCCCACTCCCTGGCCTGACAGGAGAAACTGTGTGTGTGTGTGTGTGTGTGTGTGTGCGCGCGCGCGCGCGCGTGTGTGTGTGTGTGTGTGTGTGTGCGTGTGTGTGTGCGTGCAGGCGCAAGTTTAACATCCATTAGGAACCAGAAGAATATGACTTAGCTATTTTCAAATAATTCAAGCCCCACACTGCTGCTCTGGTCTAGATTATTGCTGTTTCCCTGCCAAGCAACTCTTCCCAGTTGACTTCCTTAAGCTGCTTGGAGTTAAGAGCTGGGCATTTGGAAGGCCTCTTCCAAGCGAAAAAAGAATAAACCAGAAAGGGAATTGGGCCAGGCGTCCTTGATTGAACACCACTTCACTTCAGCAAATCCCTAAGCCTTTCTATCTGTTTTGTCAGCTGTAAAATGAGCAGACTAATTCAGCCCTACTGCAGAGTGGCAGGTTTAATTAATGATGATTGGGATGGGTTTTGTAATGTAAAGTTGTATATAAATGAAAAGGAGCACTGGAGCTATTCTACTCAAAGTCTGGAGTGCATCCTGCTTTCCAGTGCCACAGTTAAGCCTCTAAGTCCTGATCACAGACTGCTACAGATTTCAGGGGTGCTGAAAACAGCGGGGCTCATATTACCTGGACAGAAAGCAGGGTTTGGTAAAGGGAGTGGAACGCAGAATGAGTAATGAGTGCACGGTTCAGATTTCTGGCAGCACCAAGATCCACTGGGCCCAGCGGGTGGCAGATGATGGAATGGTTTCTGCAATCAAAGTACAAAGGACAAGTGTACCCATTTATTCTTGGGACTGTCCTGGAAAGATCCTTGAGGTCTAATGTGTCACACCAAGGGGAGAGCTCTTTCCAGAGATTTTTGATGTACTTCTCCCTGTTGTTCCTGTCGTGGGTTGCTGGGTGTTTTCTTCAGTGGCAGTGTGGATCAAATCTGTCTTATTTTTAGGGCTCACATTCCACAGTTCACTTAAAGACATGGCTACATGATTTACCAAAAGTCATACCCAGCCTGGTCACTGTCACCCCAAGTGCCCACACATGATGAGAGTAGACACCCCTGACCCAAACTGAGATAACCAGATTCTTTCCCAGGGCATTTTCCATTGGGCCTTCTGGTCAGTTACCAGTTATCACACCTGGAAACTGTTGATTACTTTGGTTAACGTGCGATTTCTTTCTCTCTCACATAATTCATCTAACAACATTCATATGCAGCAAATCATAACATTTATATACTTAGTAGTCATGAGCTCTGCTTCCCTTAATCTCCTGGAGCCTTTGTGTTTCTAGGAGGGTGTAACATATTCGCATTACGTTATAATTATGTTTGTACAGCTTCTTCCTTAATATTAGATGACCTTGAATATTAAGGGTCTTCATGATTAAAGGTCTTAATGTTTTCCTCATTGCCCTTGACATCAGTGCCTTCCTTATTGGAGACACACACACACACTTGTTCAAATGCATTGAAAATAAAAAGACTTAATGAGTGATGAAAAATGATGGGAATGGTAATGGGAGTGGAGCATAGAGTGAGTAATCAGTGCACAGTTAGGAAGGCCTGATGTCCATTAGGGAGCTTCATTTTCAAATATTTTTCAATGTCTTGTGGGAAGATCTAAGTGTATTATATCGATTAAGATCAAAGGTGTTCAGCCAGACTTAGACTTCTGCTTCTAGCCCTAATTTAAGATATTATTCTTTGGATAGTTAAAGAAGTATGAATAAGACAGTTCTCATTCAGATATAATATGAAGGCTGTTTAAAAAGGCACTTAGCAAATTAATTCGTTGTGTCTATGCATAAGTAATTTTTGGTTGTAAAATATATTGCTAGGTAATATGGATCCTTGTAAACAAGCTCAGTTCTAATATACATACTTGGTATGTTTTTAGTTTAAACTGGCTTCTCCCCTCAACATGTGGTCCCTAGATTTGAATAGTCTACCTGAAAAAAAAAAGTTTTGTTCCATATATTCATCACCAATTTGCTGATACTCGTGAAGGTGTTTTCAGTGAACAAACTATGTCCAGTTAATGCTTACTGTTTCAGGGAGAAGGCAAACAAGAGTAAGGCAGCTTGAAAGGTGAAGACTTAGACCACTGGGGTCTCCCTTCAGCCTATGCCTCCTTTCCTAAGAACTTCCCCCAGCCCCATCCACAAGGGTGGGCCCCAGGAGTCACTGTCACCCCAAGTGCCCACACATGATGAGAGTAGACACTCCTGACCCAAACTGAGACAACCAGACTATTTCCCAGGGCATTTGCCATTGGGCCTTCTGGTCAGTTACCAGTGGCCCTGGAACTAGGACAGCATATAGCAGGGAACTGGCATGGCCATTTCACCATGTGCTCTGGGAGGCAGAAAGAACTGGGATGCAGAGAAAGGAGACTGAAACAGTGTCGGGGAGAAGCAGAGATGAGAAACCAGGTCACCCCTGAGAGAAAAAGGGAGGTGGCAAAAGAACAGCCATCTCCATTCCCAGAGGCCTCTCAGGGCTTTGTTCTGACCCCCATGAAGCCCAACTACCCTTCCTGCCCTGGCCCAGATCCAGTACACTCTCCATTTTAGCTCAGGCAAGCTTGAGATGTATCTGTTACGTGAAACCCAAGGAGCCTTGGCTAAGTGAGTGAGCTGGCACTGAAAGAGAGGCTAAGCCAGGGATTCTGGTTACACAGGCAAGGTCTGTCTGATGAGGACCACCTGGGTGGTCCAATCACCTTGGCCTGCCAAAATCAGACATGCACACAAGTAATTTCTGTTGATGATAAAATTGAATGGAATAGATTCAGAGTTATTCCTGAAAGAAAGTTCTCTCTTAGTCACTTCCCGATACACTTTCTTGTGTAGTAAGGTAAATGGGAAGTATTATAGATGGCACACCCAGCATTTTTCCCAACCCTGAATACTTCTACAGGGATATGTGTGTCTGGAGCTGTCACTGGTCATGCATGTTGCAGCAAAAACAAAAACAGTGGTTTCTTCTAACAATCCGTCAGTCCCTGTTGCTGGGCCACTTGACACTCATCCACAGCTTTGGCCCTGCACCAGTTTCAGCGACAAGTCCCATCTCCAGCTGAAGGCGTTGAAAAGCCCTGTTTCAGTAGGTCAGGGGACATAGGTTACCCTGTGACTTGTCTTGCTCTGATCAGATACCCTGGTTCTGGTTTCTGGGCTTCTGCCTTCATCCTGTTACAGTCTCAGTCCCTCTTGCAGGACCTGAGTCCTTGATTGCTCAGACTTTAGCCCCTAACTCCATGGTCTGAGCAGGATCCTGGTTTCTTCAAAACCAGGACTCTAATTTGCTTACATCTCTTTTTTCCAGCAATATACTTGAAATGCAGACCAAGCTGGGTGCTTCCTTGTCTTGTCAGACCCACACTGCCAGTCTGGGTCACACTGTCCTTCCCCAAATCTCCCCACCACTCCATCACTCCTACTTCACTACTGCCAATAATCATATTTGCTCCTCTTATGGGACATCTACCTTTTGCTACCTTCCAGACCTTTCTAACCCTGGATCTCTCGAAATCACCATATCACCTGTTACTACTCTGAGGATTCACATGGTCCTGCAGCTCTGTCTGTCTGGCAGACCTCTGCCCACTGGCTTCGACCAGGTGCCAATTACAAAGCCTAGCACACAGCAAGGTGACAGGGAGACAGTGTGGTAAAGTGGAATGAGAATGACATGAACATGGGCATCCTGAGTAGATCAGCGTTCAAATCCTTGCTCCTTCACTTTCACAAGTTTCTTAATTCCCCTAGAATGCAAAAGGATTGTTGAAAGGATTATATGAGATAATGTGTCTGGCAAAATTTAGTAGTTATTTAATAAAATACAAACTTTAGTATTTAATAATCTGTCTTTCTTTCATATATATACATATACATACACACACACACACACACACACACACACACACACACACATTTTTTTTTAGAGAGATAGAAGGGAGGGAAGGCGGGAGGGAGAGAGAAAGAGAAACATCAATGTGAGAGACACATCGATTGGTTGCCTCCTGCACAACCCCAACTGGGGCTGGGCTGGATCAAACCTGCAACCCAGGTATGTGCCCTTGACTGCAAATGAACCTGAGACCCTTTGGTTCAAAGACTGATGCTCTAACCACTAAGCAAACCAGCCAGGGTATGCTCTTATATTTTTTAACAGATTTATTGGGATATAATTCACATATCATTCAACCCATTGGTTTAAAGAGTATAATTCAATGGTTGTAGTATATTCGCTGGCTTTAGATTTCTTAAAATGCAATTATTGGGATATGAGGGATATGAGGCTTAGTAACAGTTAAAAACCTAAGGATTTGCCCTGGCCGGTTTGGCTCAGAGGTTAGAGTGTCGGCCTGTGGACCAATGGGCCGCAGGTTCAAGTCTGGTCAGGGGCACATACCTCGGTTGCGGTAGGGGGTTGTGCAGGAGGCAGCCAGTTGGTGTGTCTTTCTCGCTTTGATGTTTTTCTCTCTTGATTGATGTTTCTCTCTTTCTCCTGCTCCCTCCCACTCTGTCTGAAGATAAATGGAAACATGTCCTCAGGTGAGGATAAAAACAAACAAAAAAAATGAAGAATTTTAGTCAGCTATGTTTATGTAAATCAACCGTGTGATGCCAGTGCATTACCCAAAAAGCTTATGTGATATCGGGCTGTATTGACACATACATAATGAGCAGAATGACAAATAATGGTTCCATATTATTCTGAGCTGGCAATGTGTTAAGTCATTGGGCCTGTTTTAAGAGGGATATGGACAAATCGGAGCACATTCAGAGAAACATGAAAAGGGTGATGAGAAAGTGAAAAGACTGTTTGTAGGAACCTGTGATATTTACCCTGAAGAAGTAAAGCCATCCTTAATTAACTCTAGGGGTCTCATTTGGAAAATAAATAAATGTATTTCCTATGTTCCTTTCCTAGGCCAGAACCTCAATAGGTGAATTTAAGTTAAAACCAAGCAGATTTTGACACAATATAAGGAACAATTAGAGCTGTCCAAAACAGGAATGGATTGTTCCTTCCTCACCTGAAATTCCATACTTAATATAAACTTTATTCACAAGTCAGAGGACGACATCTTATAGAGCTCTTACTCTGTAATATGCTGTGCACAGGTAGGCAAAATGATCCAGGAGGTCAACTCTTCTTTATTCAAGGTCCTCCAGTTTGGGTTTGTCTAGTTGTCCATTTTTTCTTTTATTTTCCATTCCCACTCTCTGCTTTTTGATCTGAGGAAAGAGAAGAGAAAGTCTAAAATTGTCAATATGGATATTTTATTAGTAGTTCTGATGATAATGGAAATATTATTAAAATAAGACTTTGGCATTACCTGAACAGGGGAGTGTGCTCATCTCTTCCCCATTCTGTGTAAAGTGACTTCAGTTTAGTACTTGACATTGGCCCTGGTGGCAACATTTATGGAAATTAGCAAAACTACAGATCAGCAATACTACTCTTCTCCAGCTCATTTCCCAGGGCTCCACTGCTTCAGTTTGTGCTATCCAATAACTACCAAGCTGGCATGATTAATAATGAAGACAGACTTTCTACAAGATTTTTGGACTATATGTTTCTATAAAAAATGTATTTAGAGCCAATGGTATTTACTTTCATCTAGGGGCAATTTGGAATATAAGTAGTTTAATATAGTTAACTAGATTCAGATAAATGGAATATTTAGGGAAAAAGATTTGTGGAAGACTAGACTTACTCTCCACTGCCTTCTAGGCCACATCTCTTTTTCCTTTAGGAAAACCTATAATAACCATGGTCTGCACAGCTGCTGATGGAGTGACCATGTAACAGACTAGGAAGACATCTCCAAGACAAAGGCCCTCTGGAAACAGAAAGATATAGCTCTTCGCTGGCCGGTGCTTGTCCTGCACAAGTGGATCCTTGTGCCACCAGCTGGATTTTGAAAGAACAATTTCTCAGTATTTGATCAAAGGTAAGACTCCTGCAAATATTTTCTGCAGGTGGAACATATTCTTAATTTCCTCAAGGCAGAACTATTGTAAAAACATTGCACTTTACAAGTCATTGTGAAGGAAATCACCATTAGCCCAAGATTCTCAGAGCCAACTGATTTCTGTACCATTAACAAGCTTTAGCAATTAAAATTGAGCATTTATTGAGAACTTACAGTATACTATACACTTAACAAGCATTATCTCACTTTATATTCATTTAACCTTATGAGATAGGTATAAATATTTTCATTTCACAGTTGGAGAAATAACTTAAAGAGATTAAGTGGCTATTAGAGTTAAAAAGTTTCTGTGCTCCTGGGAAGTTTATATTATCTACTGCTTTGTATATAGCAGACATTTCATAAATAGTTGAATATGGTTTTTTATTTATGTGAATACGTAAAATACCATTCTTAATACTTTGAACCCTTTGGCTCATTAGCCTTTTAATCAGCTTTTATCTAATGGTAAAACAATTATTTCATTTATTTTGCCTGTACACGCTTTCCAAGGGAAAATATCTCACCAACCCTAAAATTATTAGGATTATTTTCCCAATTTTAGAAACAAGTAAACTGAGGCTTAGCCAGATTTAAGTGGTCTTTTGGTCTTTTCATCACACTAGGTTGAGGCAGAGCACAGGTCAAAGGCATGCGTCATGAAGAATCTAGTCAAGTTACAGCTGGGATAGAAAGGTTTCAGATAAACTAGAGATGTAACAGTTAGTCCTTAAAGAATGACCATCAAGTCAGTTACATTGAGTATGGCACTCCGTGGACACATTTCTGTGCTTATTATATACTGTATGAGTCATGAGGGGAGATGAGACCAAATCCTGATCTTAAGAAGCCTGCAGACTTTAAGAGAAGACATAGACACATAAATGCAAGGAGATGAAATTACAGTACAAGAACATAAAATGAAAACCACACAAGACAGCAATGTTTATTAAGCAATGATTAATGTAGGTAGGCAGTAAGTGCCGCAGAAGTTCAGAAAAGGGAAAGATTACATGTATAAGTTTTTGCTCATCTCAGCATCTTCATAAAACATCTTCACTGTGAGCTGTGGGAAGACAGTACAGTTTGAGAGAGTGCCTGGCCTCAAAGTAGCTCACTTTCTTCTCTGGAGACTCAGGCAGATAGTGAGAGGATTTGCAGGAAGTAATAGGTGGAGACATGAGGAGACCAGAGACCTGATCATCAAAGCAGGTAAGACAATGCTGGGAGATCTCACCTGATTACTGAGTCTGGATATTAATGTTTTTTTCCTCTTTGCATTTTTCCTATTTTTAACTTTAAAGCAGGAGTAGCCTGTAGTTATTTCTGGCTCTGCTTTTGAAAAATTTGAGGCCTCAGGAGAGGTTAGAGCAGTAGTTCTCAACCTTGGCTCCTCATGTATGACCTGGGGTTTTTTGTTTTATTAATTAATTTATTTATTAATTTATTTATTTTTAATCCTCACCCGAGGACATTTTTCTATTTATCATAAGACAGAGTGGGAATGAAGGAGAGAGAGGGGAGGAGAGAGAGAGAGGGAGAGGAAGGGAGGGGAGAGAGAGACAGAGAAAGAGAGAGACATTGACTAGATGCCTCCTGTAAGACCTGACAAGAGCCAGGGATGAATCACAATCAAGGTACATGCCCTTGACTGGAATTGAACCCACGACTCATTGGTTAGCGGGCTGCTGTTCTAACCACTGAGCAAAGCTGGCCAGGGCAACCTGGGTAATTTTAAAAGAAAATGCTGCTTGGGTCCCATCCCCAAACACTCTAATTTAGTTGACCTAGAATGTTTCTTTGGTAGTTCTAATGTATAACCAAGTTTGAGTATCTTTGATTTAAAGGATTTCTAGACATAGTAGAGAGAATGAGATTTGCTGTAATGAACAAAATACCTTGGAGAAGCCCTGGCCAGTGTGGCTCAGTGATTAGAGTGTTGGCCCATACAGTGAATGGTCATGGGTTCAATTCCTGGTCAAGTGCATGTACCTGGGTTGTAGGTTCTATCCCTGGCCCCAGTTGAGGTATGTGCAGGAGGCAACCAATCGATGTGTCTCTCTCACATCAATGTTTCTCTCTCTTCCTCCCTTCCTCCCTTCCACTCTCTCTAAAAATCAATGGAAAAAATATTCTCTGGTAAGGATTAATGAAAAAAAAAAAACCACAAAAAATTGCATATTCATCTCATTATGACCTGTTAAACCCAATGGGTTCCACAGGCAGGGACAGTGAACATCCTCGGTGACCTGGTTGCATTGATAACTGAGGAGCAGATGGACTCCTTCTGCAAAGCCTTCCAGGCTAAAATATAAAGGAGCAGATACTGGCAGAGGATCCCCATGTCTGGGTTCTGGCAGATCATAGATGGCCCACTCAAAATGGGTGACTGAAGATAGCATCATGTAGAGACTGTTTAAAAGGTTGGGGCAGGGTTCACAGAAACCAAGAAAAAATTGTGAGGTACCACCTCTCAGGTAGAAAGGCCAAAAGGGGAGGAATTGGTGATTGGAATCCCATGAGAGGTATGGGAAAGGGAAACACGGCCACTTTGGAGAAAATGGCCCATCGAGGATAAATCTGGGGGAATAAATATCCCAGTACTGCTTTTCTTCTACCCTGTGATTTCCTACTGATGCCTCCCATTGGCCTAACCAAACTGGAAACCAGAAGGCAAGAGAACCCAGCTGCTGTAGCCCATCAAAGTCAACCTCCTGGGCACAGATTGGGTGGTTTAAACAAAAGACTTTATTTCTCACAGTCTGGAGGTTGGGATGTCCAAGATCAAGGGCATCAGAAGATGTGGTGTCTGGAGAGAGCTGATCTCCTTGTTCATAGATGGCAGTCTTTTCACTGTGTCCTTACATGGCAGAAGGCAGCTCTCTGGGGCTTTATTTATAAGGGTACTAATCCCATTCATAGGGCTCTACCCTGATGGCCTAACCACCTCCCAAAGGCCCCATCTCCCAATATCATCATATTGGGGGTTAGATTCAACATATGAATTTGGGGTGGGGGGTGGACACAAACATTCAGTCTATAGCACCAGCCCAATAAGGATTCAGCCTCGGTTAGAAATTAAGTTGGCATGGAAAATAAAGACAATGACAGGATAGTCTGCACTTGAGACTCTTACCCCTTATAGATGGGAGCTTACCTGAGAGTGTCAAACAACTTCATGAATGACAGATGGATTTGAACCCCTACATTGGAGCTTTTGGGACAATGGTTGTGACCCTGTTGAAGAATCGGTGTGTAGAGAAGAGGCAGACTTTCAGAAGTTGCTGCTGATTTCAGGAATGTGTTGAGAACAAGTCACATGTGCTTTGAAATCTGCCAACAGGTAGACAATAGAAGAGATAAAAGAATGCAGCCTTGTTATAGTTTGCTAATGACACAGATTTCTCTGAGCTTCTCAGAAAAAGATACTTAGAAAGGCAGGAGTATGAAAAGTTATTTAGGGCCCACCTCACATCCCAAGTTCCTTAAAAAAAAAAAAAAAAAACTAAACTAAACCTCTGACCATCTTTCTGGGAAAAGAAGGGCACAAGTGTGAGGAACTCTAACACAGGGGAAAGTAGGATCTGACCTATTTACAACTAGGCTTGGCCAGCTTGACATTTAGCACAAGTTGGGTTCCCAGCTTACCCCAAACACCTGTGAGTTTTCCCAGTGTCTGAAGTTAGTAACGGGGGAAAGAAGAGGAGATGGCTGCATACTTCTGAGGTGAAGGGAGCCAGGTGCTAGCTGGGAGAGTTCAGCAGCACCTTCTCAGACCTGGCCAAATAGAACAGCTGAAGAGTTCTCAGGCAGTAAACAGAACTCCAACTGGCCTTTCATGTTCCTTTGGGAAGCCAGGTGGGAGCTCCTCCTACAGCATCCTTGAGAATAGGCTATCAAGACAAAGGGACTCTGGGTCCTCTGTATCTGCCTGCTTGTTCTTTCATCTGCCATCAGTACCGGGACCTGGGGGTCATTTTGGGAGAAAATGAGCTCTGGCAGGGGAGGCAGAGTTATAAATAGATTTCAGGTCTTCTTGCCCTTAAAGTTTTACTTCTCATGCTACCATAGTTTCTCAGAAGTTGGAGGGTTTTGACACTGCACTGGGCATTGGTTAAGGAACTGAAGCAATAACTAGGCCTGATCATTAGAAGTTGTTCTGAGACTTACTACACATCAAGTACCAAAATATATTCCAGGCTGATTAAAAAGTTAAAGAATAAATATCACAACAAAAAAATTAGAAAAAAGTATAGGCAAATATTTAGCTGATCCTAAGGTGGTTGCGGCCTGTCTTAAAAAAGAAAAAACCAACAGGTTTAAAATATACAGGCATACCTCAGAGATATTGTGGGTTTGGTTCCAGACCACTATAATAAAGCGAGTATTGCACTAGACAGAGACATAATCCTTTTGCTGGTGGAGGGTCTTGTATTTTGTTTGTAAAACGTGTGACACCTGTGATATACAATAAAGCAAGATGCAATAAAATGAGGTATGCCTGCATTATACAGTATATATATAACAATTAAAACTTACTGTATTTTTAAATCCCCCCCAAAATAAAATTAATAGGATAAAATTAATAGAAAACAAATTGAAAAAACATTTGGTTAATATCCTTAATACAGAAGAACACATAAGGAGGAAATAGATGACCAACAGAAAAGTGCTAATGAACAATAAACATATAGAAAGTATTAATACAACAGTGAAATATGAAAAAATACCATATCGTTTTTCTGGATTGACTGAGATAGGAAAAAACATAATATTCAATATTGTCAAGGGTGCAAAAAAGGGGCATTTTCAAACATTTCCATCTGGACTGTAAGTTTTTCTGGAGGGTAATTTGGTAGTTTATATTATAAACATTAAAATGTGTATAACTTCAAAAAAAAATGTTTTCCTTGATTTTTAAAGAGAGAGGAAGAAAGAGATAGAAACATCAATTGGCTGCCTCCTGCATGCGCCTTACACTGGGGATCGAACCTGCAACCTGGGCATGTGCCCTGACCAAGAACTGAACCAGCAACCTTGGTGCATGGGTCAATACTCAACCACTGAGCCACACTGACCAGGCTAAAATGTGCATAACTTTTTTTTTTTTTTTTTTTTTTTTATCCTCACCTGAGGATATTTTTCCATTTTTTTGTACAGATAGAGTGGGAGGGAGAGAGAGGAAGGGAGAGAGAGAGAGAAACATCGACGTGAAGGGACACATCGAGTGGCTGCAACCCGCACGACCAACCAGGGCCGGGGACAAACCGCAACCGAGGTACGTGCCCTTAGCGGGAACTGAACCCGGGTCTCTCCAGACCGCAGGCCGACGCTCTAACCGCTGAGCCAAACCGGCCAGGGCTAAAATGTGCATAACTTTTACCTCAGCAATTCCTCCTCTAGAAATTTATCCTAAGGAAATAATCAACGATGTGCACAAACATTTGTCTACAAGAATGTTTCTATAGTGTTATTTTAATAGTGAAAAATTGGGGTTGGTTGTATTGGCTATTAAGATTTGACAGTTGGGTGGTGGGTACATTGGTCTTCATTATTGTATTAGTTTTCTATTGTTACTATAACAAATTACCATAAAGTTAGTGGTTTAAAACAACACACATTTGTTATTTTACAGTTCTGTATTTCATTCTGACCCGGGTCTCACCGTTAAAATTTAGGTGTTGGTAGGAATGTGTCCCTACTGGAGGCTCCAGGGGAGAGTCCATTTCCTTCCCTTTTCCAGCTTCTGGACGCTGCTCACATTTGTTGGCTCACTGCCCCCTTCTTTCATCTTCAAAGCCAGCAACATAGCATCTCTCAGACCCTTCTTCATCATCACATCTTTTTCTTTCTCTTTTTCTCTCTTCTTCCTCCACTTTTAAGGACACTTGTGATTACATTGGGCCTACCCAGATAACCAAGCATAATTTTTCTGACTTAAAGTCATCTCATTAGTAACCTCAATTCAACTTACCATGTGACTACAGGTCCTAGGGATTAAGCCGTTTAAGTCTTTGGGGGCCATTATTCTGCCTACACAATTGTATTATTCTATATGCTTATCCATCTGAAAATATTTAATATTTAAAATGTTAAAAGCCCAAAGCCCAATGCCAATTTAGCACATGAATGAAAGGATGATAATATTCATATGATGAATGCTGTTTGCTCATTAAAAGTCATAGTTAGGAAAATATGTAGTAACACGGAACAATGTCCATTATACAGTAAGTGGGGAGAGGAGAATGAATTCTAAAAAGAAACGTGCACAAGGTGATATCAATTATGTTAAACAAAACCCCAAACAAACCTATATTGAAATGACTAACAAATCTTTGGAAGGACATAGGTTAAAAATGTTAAATGTTTATCTCTGCACGATGATTTTAATTTCCTGGTTTTTTTTGTTTGTTTGTTTTTTGTTTCTAAAATACTGTTTTTGCAAATAGAGAAATAAGCCATTAAGAACGTCTATCTAGGACACTTTTCTGGTCAAGCGTCTCCCCGGTTTCTTAGCTTTCGATCGCATTCCCTCACATCCCTCAAGCTTGTCCTCCTCTTCAGGCCCGAGGTGTCCGCTCGGGGAAGTTCTCCTCCGACAGGAGGGAGCCTCGCGGGGAACTAAGCGTGGCCACCAATCGCGTTTCCTAAAACTTTCTCGGGGCAGAGTAAACCCAAGGCTCCGCTTCATCCCACAAAGACCTTCATAACCGGTGCCTCGGAAGCTGGATACACAGGTATAGGAGCCTATTTCATAATCTCGCTGGCACATGTTAATAGTTCTAATAATTAATATTGTTTTTAATACACAAAAGAACCGAGGACAGCGGCCTAGCGAACGGAGTGCAGACGGGCTTGGCGGCGGGAACGACAAGCGGCCCACCGTGCCCGTCCGGGTCGGCCGGCGGGGTTCTGCTACGCCGCCCGTACTCCCTTTCCGCAGCCTACGCCCGAGGCATCTTCCTGGCCGCGCTCACACTGCCTGAGCCCGGCCCGGGGCATCGCCGGTCCAGTGCAGAGCCCACGGCCAGCGGCCCAGCCCTGGAGCCCGTTAGGTTCGCGGAACCGGGACCTCGCATTGGCACGACCCTCAGAGCCTGTCCCGCTCTGTCCCGACCCGCGGACCTGGCCGGTGCCGCACCCCCCACCACCGAGAGGAGCGCCTAGAGCGGACAGCCCGGCCCCGCCGCTCCGCCCTCCCCTCCCAGCCTCCTCTGTCCCGGAAGTTGCTGCTGCTGCTGCCTGATCGCGTGCTGCTCGCCAGGGGTGTCGCCGCTGAGATCTCCACGGGCTGCGCTTGCAAGAGGATCAACATGCCTGTGAGTTGTTTACTTTCGGGCTAGGGCTTCTCAGTGTGTGGAGGGGCCGGAGGTAGGCTCCGCGGGCCCATGGGGCTCCTCGCCCAACGCGGCCACGCGGCTGGGATCGCGCAGCTGCCTAGCGCGTGGCGGACTTGTTGGGACTTGCCTGGGCAGCGCGACATGTCCGGCTGTGCCAGGGCGTGGAATGGGGAGGATCGGGGGCCGCCATGGCTGCGAACCCGAGTCGGTAGCGAGGAGGGGCAGCTGCCCCGGGGAACTTACCCCTCTTGGTTTTTGGTGGGCGCCCGCGAGGCTGTGGTCTTGGGAGTCTTTTGGCTTTGAGTTTCGTGGTTCTCGCCCCCTCTGCCCTCTCTCAGAAGCGATTTTATGCCCGTTTCCTTTTTAAAACTGACTTCGCAGTTGCTTTACCCAGAAAATCCATCAAGCACGCCATCCTCAGCCACTCACAGCTCCTGTCAGATCAGATGTTGAACCCCGGTCCTCCTCAGCTATTTTCACCCTCAGCGGGTGCAGGCTGGGGTCACGTTCTTACTTGGCACCACAGTTTTGTTTTATTGGAGACTGTTTTTCAGTTGAGTAAAGGAGAACGGGATTAACCGTACCATATGTTTGGTGATAGAGAGCCCCATTACCGGGTCTGGGAGAACGCAAACATAAAAAGTATTGATGAAAGTTAACAAGCTTTAAACATAACAGGAAGTGTTGCCTCTGCTGAGTATAGCTGTTATTTTTGCATGTACATTTCACATATGGTTAAATCTGCCAGCATTGTGGTTTCATTCTAGTAGTAATAATATGTTTTTTTATTCAGTTGGCTAGAGATTTACTACATCCGTCCTTGGAAGAGGAAAAGAAAAAACATAAAAAGAAACGGCTAGTTCAGAGTCCAAATTCTTATTTTATGGATGTAAAATGTCCAGGTAAAATTTCAAATTTAATTCCTTTCCCAATAAAAATTGTTATAGGAATTGCTAGTGTGGTGTGTATATTTGATACATTAGGACCCTCTGTTGAGTAAAAATGGGATTACAGAATTGGATATTTTCATAATAAACGTATTTAGACCACTGTGGAAACATTTTGGGGGGAGGAGGGTCGAAGATAGGACTCAAAGGGAGTATGACATTTGATTTACTAACTTTTAAAAAAATCCTCACCGATGTGAGAGACACACATGGACTGGTTGCCTCCTGCAGGGCCCCGACCAGGGTTGTGACTTAACTACAATAGCAACAAGGCTCCTGCCCCTGATCGGAATTGAACCCTAGACTCTTTGGTCCAAGGGCCAACGCTCAAACCGCTGAGCCAAACTGGCTGGAGCTGATTTACTAGCTTTTTAAGCTGATGAAATAAGTTTTCTTTTTCATGCTGCAGTGAAAAGTATGTTTATTCTTTGGTGTAAAGCTGTGCTGCCCAGTATGGTGGCCATTAGCTGTATATGTGGCTACTGAACACTTGAAATGTGACTGGTCAAAATGAAATATTCTGTAAGTATAAAATATCCACCAAATTGTGAAGGTGTAGCCCCACCCCCTGCGTACTGGTTACGTGTTGAAATGATAATATTTAACAATTCTGTGGCTATTAGAAAAGTTTAAGTTACACATATGGCTTGCTATTACATAGCACTAAAGTCCTTAATCTTTCACAAAATCTTTTTTTTAGGTTGCTACAAGATCACTACGGTTTTCAGCCATGCTCAGACCGTGGTTCTTTGTGTAGGTTGTTCAACAGTGTTGTGCCAGCCGACAGGAGGAAAGGCTAGACTCACGGAAGGTATATCATTTGGCATTTTCTAACCCAGTGATAAGATTTTATGATTATAAATGTCTCTATCTTTACTAAAAACCAGTTTAAAAGAAATCTTAAGTCCATGATTACCAAAATAAATTTGTCTTTTCATCATGTACTCTTTGAATAAAGAGTGCCCTGTTCAATTTGACCTTGCAAAGAATGCCTTTGAATATTATTTTTCTTAGTTTGGAACATCTAATTCTGTTGTATTTAATCACTTAGTTTGCCTAACTTGGAATATTAAACATAAATCAAAATGGAGCAAGAGAATAACTATATAATAGAGGACATGGATTTTTTTTTTAAACAGAATTTAAAAATTTCTCTTGTAAATATTTTGTTTCATATATATATATATATATATATATATATATATATGATACATAAAACTTAAGACAGTTTTTATCATTGCCAGGTAAGAAACAGATAATATATAAATTTAAATGCTAGAGGTTTGATATCTATGAGTAACTACTTAATCGTTAATATAAAAATCTAATTTTAATTCTTTTATGCAGTAAGAAAAAAATCATGTATATAAATTTCCATAGTATGACTAGTAGATTTAGAATTCCATATTATATTTGAAATTTGCTTGTGAATTTTAGAGAGTTGTGAATCCCATGTTGTTCTCACTGGAAGAGTTATAAGTGGAATGGCAACAAATTCAAGATCTATTTGATATGAAGATATACATATGAAGTCAGCATACTTGCAAGATTTCCAAAACCTTTATATCATACCAATATTAAAATTTTAACTGATGAATTTAGGCTTATGATCTTAAATAGATTCCATTATAGCAATTGAGAATCAGTCACATCAGAGTAAATTCAAATACAAATGATGTATTATAGCAAATTTCTGGTATAAAAGGATAAATAACCTATATATTAATATTAATGCAGTATTCCTAAAATATAAGATTTTTACTTAAGTACTTTTTGCCATTAAAATGATACCAAAGATAGAATAAACTTGTGTTTAATATGCCTTTGTAATTCCATTGCAGGGTGTTCATTTAGAAGAAAGCAACACTAATGATCCACACAACTTCCTGAATTTGTGTTCTATCACAGAAAGCCTTATTAGTTCAGGAATTCTAGTTAAGCTACCAGGATAATGTAATTACATTTAATTTTGTAAGTATACAACAGTGATCTCCTATTTTGGTGTCAGTTTTTCAATAAAGTTTTGATTATGGGCAAATACCCCCTTTTTTCATTTTTTCCCCCCAAAGTATGTGTGCATGCTGTACATTAATGTATACTTTGTATGTGAATTAGCTTTAAACATTTAAAAAATGTATTCTGACTTTCAAGGTATTAACCCTAAATACTTGATTTTTAGTCCTTTTCCAAATTTCTATGAATTGGGGCTAAAAAATAATTACAAATGGAAAGAAGTCCATTATTTGTTAATTCTAAATATAGTTTTGCTATTATAGAAACACATTTTAGAAGTACATATTTAATGTAGTAGCAATCATAGTGAAGTGCCTTGGATTTGTGTGGTCCTAGTATACAACATAGTTAGGACTGCATTTGGGGTCTGAGTTATAGGAAGCTCGTTTTGAGGTAGAAAATTTGAGAGGAGGCTGAGTGAGGCAAGCCAAACACTGAGTGAGGCAAGCCAAACAGAGAAGGACAAGTATCATATGATCTCACTTATTTGTGGAATATATGAACATAACAGTCTGAGGAATGGGGTAGTCCCAGAGACATGGAGGTGGGGTACAGACTGACAATCCCCAGAAGAGGGGATGGTGGTGGAGAGATAAACCACAGAACTTATATGCATGTATGCATGAATAGTGGACATGGACAACAAACTGGGGACAGGAGGGGGAGGGGGGAATCAGTGGGGGAAAAAGGAGAAACATCTGTAACAAAAATTAATTAATAAAAAAAAAAGAAAATATGCTTTACAAAAAATATCTTGACAATAAAATTATGCCTTAGTCAGTAAAAAAAAAAAAAATTTTGAGAGGAGGAATCAATAGTTGCATGAGCATGACTTACCCTAGGATGTCATGACTGGTGATGGTAGATGGTATTGAATTCTCTGGTCCAGACAGTAAGCACTCCTGATTACACGTGTGTTGAGTGGTTCTGCTGTCTCATTGCCATTTTTATAGTTTTATAAAATGACCTGGGGAGCTAGGAATAGGAGTGTATTTTTCCTTTTCTAGCCACTGTATGACTCCTTGTGGGACTGGGAAGATAAATGTTTCTATTGTACTTGTTACCTTTAAGGCAGGCCCTTAAGACAGGTATTTCCTATCAAGAGGTGTTCCTGCATATACACCCCAATTGAGAGACTGATTCTTGAACATAACTGATTCATATATCATACTGAACTATGGAAATTTTGGGATGTATTTAAAATATGGAGAAGTAGATAACCCAGAGGTTCCCACATTTTCTTGGTTTATAGCATCTTTAGAGTCTCATTAATTTTTTCATGGAGTCCCATGGCCAAAAGAAATACCTAACAGTTACATTTATTAAGTAGTTAGGTTCTAACATCTTTAGTCACCATTTGAAAAAAAAAAAAAAAAAAAAAAATGGATATGTGTAAATTAAAAGTGATAATTTTTTTGTCATTTTTAAATAACCACAATTATTAATGGAATGGGTATGCCTTTTGGGCACTGTGCAATGTCTCAAAATTGGGATCAGATTGGACACTGTCATCCTCATTTTTCCACAATGATTTTTGCACAGTACTTTTTATCACAGCAATAGCTCCAAAACCAGCTTCACAAAGGTATGACATCATCAAAGGGAATGTGGTGTACCATCTAATATAACTAAACTACCTGGAACTAGAAGTTTGCATGATATATTAAAGATGTCAAGTACAGTTGGCCCTCATTTATCACGGTTAATCAGTTCCAGGGTCTACTGTGATAAATGAATTTCCACGAAGTAGGATTTATTATTTATATACAGTCGTCCCTCTCCACGCTTGGTGCTTGGACTTCTGGGGCTTCACTCTATCACGATTTTTCAAATATAATATAAGTAAAGTATAGTATTTGAAAAAACTGCAGTAGAGTGAAGCCACAAAGTTGAAGTGTGAAGTGGCGAGGGACGACTGTATCTGTTTTTTCTGTGGTGTTCCAAGGCACCTCAGTTTACAGTTTGGGACCCTTGGGCTACAAAGAGCCAGTGGCGGTGACAGGCTATTGATAAGAAAAGGAGCAAAATCTGTGATAACTAATCTAGAGGGCAAATCCCTGAAAGTTTCCTTGGAAATAGCATTGAAAGAAAGTATTGTACTTTATGTATTCATTGGTTAATACTTGGTGCTCTGACCCAGGACTGAACTTGCAACCTTGTATCGGGATGGAAAGTGCTGTAATTTAAAGAAAGTATCTAAGGATTAAGTTACAGCCATACCTGGCACTAGGAACTGAATGGTGTAAGTTTTACTTCATGATTAATCTAAACAGTATTACTAAATATGAAAATGCTCAATGGAACACTAAACTTCATGATCTTACCGTATACATTATTATTTACTGAATTTTTTCTTTAATACTATTATTTACATTGACTTCACTTTTTCACATGTGTATTTAAAGGAAATCTTATATATCTTTCATAAATAAAAGTTACAAAAATATAAAAATTAAAATAAAATTCTTGACTTCTGATTTCATCAGATGACAAATGGTTTCTTATTTGGTTGCCTCTGTAAGTCATCTGATAAAGTTCTAATTTTTTTTTTATCCTCCCCCGAGGACATTTTTCCATTTTTTGTTCAGACAGTGGGAGGGAGAGAGAGAAACATCGACATGAAAGGTACACATCAAGTGGCTGCCTCCCGCACGACCCAACTAGGGCCGGGGACAAACTGCAACTGAGATATGTCCCCTTAGCGGGAACCGAACCTGAGTCTCTCCAGACTGCAGGCTGACGCTCTACTGCTGAGCTAAACTGGCCAGGGCTAAAGTTCTAATTTTTAAAAAAGATATAATGTAGATACCACAAAATTCAACCTTTTACAATGTAAGATTCTATGATTTTTAGTATAATCACAAGGTTGTGCACTGTCTAATCCCAGACCATTTTCATCACCCCAAAAAGAAACCCCATACTCATTAGCATTCACTCTATTTTCCTTTCTCTTCTCAGCTCCTGGCAACCTTTAATATATTTTCTATGTTCATGGATTTCCCTGTTCTGGACATTTTGTATAAATGGGATCATACTATACATGACCTTTTGTGCTGGCTTCTTTCACTTAGCATAATGTTTATAATGGCCATCCCTGCTGTAGCATGCATCAGTACTTCATTCCATTTTATGCCTGAATAATATTCTATTGTAAGAATACACATTTGTTTATCAAGTCATCAGATGATGGACATTTGGGTTGTTTTCACATTTTGGCTACTATAAATAATACTGCTATGAATACATTTATACAAGTTTTTGTGTAGATGTGTTTTAAATTCTCTTGGGTGTATACCTAGGTGTGGAATTGCTGGATTATATAGTGATTCTGTGTTTAGCTTTTTGAGGAATTGCATAATTACGTTCCTATTGACACAAGGGTTTCAATTTCTCACATCCTCATCAGCACTTGTTATGATCTGACATTTTGATTATAGCCATCTTATTGTGTGAAGAATGATCTCATTGTAATTTTGGCTTGAATTTCCCTGATGACTACTGATGTTGACCATCTTTCCCATGCTTATTAGCCATTTGTATATCTTTGGAGAAATGTCTATTCAGACTCTTCACCCATCTTTATTGTTGAGTTGTAGTTCTTATACATTCTAGATACAAATTCCATATATATATATATTCATATATACATATATGAATGAATGAATGATTTGCAAATATTTCTTCCCCTTCTGTGGGTTGTCTATCAGTTTTTTTGTTTGTTTGTTTCTTGTGCTTTTGGTGTCATATCTAAGAAATGACCTAATCTGAGGTCATGGAGATTCAAGACTGTTTTCTCTTAAGAACTTTATAATTTTTGTTCTTACATTTAGGTTTGATCCATTTTGAGTTAATTTTTGTAAATGTGAGGCAGGGGACCAACTTCATTCTCTAATTCTTTTTTTTTGTTTTTTTTCCCCCTCACCCGAGGACATTTTTCCATTTTTTGTTCAGGTAGAGTGGGAGGGAGAGAGGGGAACAGAGAGAGAGGGAGAGAGCGAAAGGAACACATCGAGTGGCTGCCACCCGCACAACCGACCAGGGCCGGGGACAAACTGCAACCGAGGCACATGCCCTTAGCGCGTGAGCCCAATGTAATCACATTGGGAACCGAATTCGGTTCTTTAGCGGGAACCGAACCCGGGTCTCTCAGGACCGCAGGCCGACGCTCTAACCGCTGAGCCACACCGGCCAGGGCCTCTAATTCTTTTTAATGGTGGCATAATAGTCTGTGGTATGGAAGTACCATAATTTATTCAGCATTATCTTATTGATGGATACTTTGTTCTAGTTTTTTTCACTGTAATCAATGCTGCCATAAATTATTTAATATGTCCTTAATATGTGCTCTTATTTCTGTGGGTTAGATTTTCAGAAGTTGGATTTCTGGTTGGAAACAAATGTATTTTCATTTTTAACAGGTAATGCCAGATTGCTTTCCACTAACAGTATATGAAAATATTCTCCCCCTATTCCATCTCTTCAATCAATAAATGGAACCTATTTTTTGTTGTTGTTGCCATTTTGATGATTTTAAGGTTATATATCATTGTTACTCTAATTTGTAGATCTCATTACTGAGGAGTTTGGGAATGGAATGAAGCCATAATAAGCTACTGTGTTGTCCTGGCAGATTTGGCTTCAGTCGGCCCAAGGTCGTGGGTTCAATTCCTGGTCAAGGGCATGTATCTGGTTGCAGGTTTGATCCCTGGCCCCAGTCAGGGTCATGGTCATGCGGGAGGCAAAGAACTGATGCCCCCCCCCCCTTCCTCCCTTCCCTTCGATCTAAAAATCAGTGGAAAACTATCCGTGGGTGAGAATTAAGAACAACAAAAAAAGCTATTGTTTTTCTAGAATTCCTTTTCATTTGCTTTTTCTTAAAAAGAAGTTCTCCATATTAGAAACAATGGCTAAAAATAGTTGGAATATAGTATCCTGTTGCTTTGGTAACAAATTACCACAAATGTAGTGGCTTAAAACAACATAAATTTATTATCTACCAGTTCTAGAGGTCCAAAGTCCAAATTG